CCTATATTCTCAACAGCTTTTTTGGGCAGGTGTTATTTCTTGTGTTCACTCAGGCTTCTCTTTCCTCCACACCCCTGATCGAGTGCGTAGTCTTCTTGGATCAGAAAGAACAATCTCCCTGGCCTTGCATGCACGATGCTCACCTTAAAGATACCTTTGTTTTGTTGAAAATCGCAGAAGAGTAGGTTCAATTATACTATATTCTGAAATTTCAACAAAAGATAAATATATGTAGAATTTGTTTTCATTTCACTTAATTTTCATAATATCACAAGTAACGTAAGATAGTAGAAGGAAGGTCATAGAGTCACGTGACATGGCTATGTTCTTGTACTTACGGGGTACGTCACAAACCAGTCGATCGTGTGGTGCAGAAGATGGAGGTGGTGAGCCTGTGGAGAGATTACAATTTGTGTGTTTTGTTTGTTTGCGTATAAAGTGTTATGTTCTGTTAGACACAAGTAGGTAATCACCAAAGTTATACTCTTTCTTAGTTAATGTAGGATACAACATGCGACCTAGCTATAGGTCTCTGATACAACGTTGTGCTTTCTTTTGCAGAAATTGGTTTTTACGAGTATTAGGTGTGCATGGGCTTGTAATGCATACGTATAGAGTATAGATGAGAGAGAGGGAGAGAAAGAGACAGGGAGAGAGAGAGAGAGAGAGAGAGAGAGAGAGAGAGAGAGAGAGAGAGAGAGAGAGAGAGAGAGAGAGAGAGGCAGAGACAAAGAGACAAAGACAGAGAAATAGAGAGAAGATTTGTTTCACTACTGGAAGATCTGCATTGTGTCGTTATGTTGTAAAGCCTCTTCAGTTTTACGACAAGAAAGTAGAAATGGTTTTCTGTATTACACCAAACCTAAGCAGACAGTCCTGAAAAAAACCCAATAACAACCCAAGTTCATGAACGTCCCATAAGAGATTCGAACAGGAGTCGTCCAAAACATAGCCCAACTTGATACCTACTTAGTAAAAGATGTTCCGTGTTCAGTTTAAGTTCTTGAGGGTTGAATGTGATGTTATGGAAAGGCTCCTCCATGTTGCGTGAAGAAGATGTGAGTTCGATTTCTCTGTGTATGTTGAGACGTTTTGTTTTTGTTTTTGTTTTCATTTAAAACGAGCATTTCTTTTTAACTGCTCGGACGCTGTATCCTTCTCAGCACGGAATGACACTGGCAGGGAAGGCTTCAGCAGTCTGCTTCCCAAATGATTTATTTTGTGTTGTCAGTGGGGCTGTAAAACACCCACAATGAAACCTATCTTTTTGTTTGGTTGTAAACATGGTAAAGCGTGTAGAACACACTGGGTTGGCTGATGTATCAATGAACTTTGCGGTAATTAATTCTTACAAGATTTCTTCCTTCTTTCTCGGCGTTGTACGTCCACTGCAAGATGTAACCCTCCAACAAAGACCTCCACTCAGTTCTCCGTATCCAGGTAGTTCCCGTCTGTTCTCTAATAGTATCTCACCACATCTTTCTTTTTCTCTGGATCGTTTTGCTGTTTTTAACCTATATTCTTTGCATCTTTTTGTCCTTCTGATATCCTTCATTCTACTGATGTAACCAGCCTGTTTCAATTTTTATAGTAGTACACATTTAGGGATATCTGCCACTCGTGTTTTCTTTCGTTTATTCCTAGTATAGGCTTTACTTGGTCTCGTAGTTTAATACGTTGAATCTTCTTTCCTATTACCCTCTGTGTTGTCCTTGGTTTCTTTGTGATACTTCTGGTGATTGGCCCCATAAGAAATAGAGAAAACGGCAAATAAAAACAAAAATCACTCCTGTCCATGTAGAGTAAAGAGAATTTTAAAACATTTTTATTAAACCTTTTCAGTCGGAACTTACGTGACCGTATACTCACATCCAGGGTCTCTCCACTCTTTGTGGCGTTAGATTTTAGATTTGGGTAGCTGGGACGTTATGCCAGAAAGACGGTTGTACTTTTTTTTTAACAATGGGGGGGGGGGGGGGGGTGAAACTTACCACGACGGATAAGTCTTCAAAACACAAAAGTCCAAGTACATCTGTTTTATTGTTTGACTAGGGAACACCCAAACATAACCCCACCCCGCCACTGCTTATTAATGGGCCCAAAACTTGGCCGAAGCCAATTTAAGAAACCCCTAGGGGGTCCCCCCCAGCTTTGGGAACTTTCAAAAAAATTATGGGCCTGGCGGGACAAAACACCAGGGCCAACAAAATGTTTGGGAAAACACAAAAGCAAATTTCGATTTTCTAAATGAGGAATGAGAGGCGTTACACACGCGCTTGGAAGCACCTG